TCTTATAAATTGTCTGATATCCAATCTTAATCTCAGATAAGAATTCTTTGCTGTTTAAATATTTCACGAGAGTCTATGGCGAATTCAAATGTTGTTTATTGCTCTTTTTGAAACTTAACATTTGTTCAGTTGTGGTTTAATATCAGAGTTATAGAAAGTGAACATTGAAATGGAATTGAGGTAAATAACACAGAAACACGTGGTGGAAGCGGAGTGCGCGGTTCCTTGTCGAGCTGGCGATCGCGCCATCGCCACAAAAGACGCAGATTTAGAGTAGATGTCAGGAGCGGTTAGGATGACGTGACTTTGTCGGCCCAATAGCGGGGACCCAACCACGAGTTTGCGACCGTAACGGGATGTTCGTAATGGAGAGGTGCTGTGCGGCAGAGCTTGGGATACATAGAATCACCGTCATGAGTAGGAGAACAGCCACAACCAGGAGCCCCAAACTTCGCTCGTGCTACAACGCCCTCTATGGGTGATTTTGCCGTGCTCTAAAAACGAAATTGACATAGTTCGATAGCCACACTCTTATAGCCTCTGGTGCCGTTGCCGCTGCATACAGTTTTTTATTACAATTTCGTTCTCTGTTGACTGCCATAATTTTAAATTTGCCGCCACACGTCCGCTATAACCTGTGTATTTGCATCCAGTTACTTTCTTTGTTTTTATTAAATCTGTGATATTTAAATATTTGCATAGATTCAGAACGTTTAATTTGATTTCATTCAAAGTTAGGTGAGTTTTTTTTTTATAGTAGCAACCGGCACAACTTGGTCGGTTTTTTTCTTTTTTTGTCAGTGGAGGAATAAAAAATTTTGTGTCCTCCATATATTTTGTGTTTTATTTAGCGGTACTTTTCCAAACTTGGGGTCCACCACTTGCATCTAAAGCCACCAAAAAAAAAATTTTTCACATGTCAATTTAAGACGGGATGTTTGGGTTACCACAATATATATATTTTCTAATATATTAGTATATATATTTGATAAAATCGACTGTGGATAATGCTACAGTTGGATTCAAATCCTCATTTCTCCACGAGAAATTAAAAACATGTTTTTGAGTATCGTGTTGCTCAAAGAATACCATGTATATTAAAAAAAAATTAATGCCAAAAATTACCATTTCAATCGTGTTTTAGGTTTATAAGAATAAAAGGTCATCACAATTGAGATGGGGTGGGTGGGCGGGGTAAATATTTTGCCATTTTTTTCTTAATATACTTGTTTTCTTTGAACAACACGATACTCAAAAGCATGTTTTTAATTTCTTGTAAGGAAATAAGTATTTTGCAGTTAAACTTCACCCTCGTGCTTCACTGGGAATAAAAAAATCATTACAATGGAGAGAGGGCGGGTGGGTGGGCTTACATTTTGCCTTTTTGTTTTAAAATGTGTAGACTTATTTTCACAACATTACACTTAAAACATATTTAAAATGGAAAACTTGTATAAGCCCCGCCCACCCGCCCTGTCTCAATTCTGATGATTTTTTTTATTTATCATAACCCGAGGGGCGGAGCTTAATTTCAAAATCCTTATTTTTCTACGAGAAATTAGCATGTGAAATATCTTCTTAAGTAATCGTGTTATAATAAGAAAACTAAAAGAAAAACCCCACCCATCCGTCTTGATCTCAATCGTAATGAAATTTTAATTCGTTGTCAGACCCAGAGGCGGAGCGGAATTACAAAATCGATATTTCCCTATACAAATTTACCATTTTAAACTTGTTTTAAGTTTCTTGTTGTGAAAAAATGACTACTCATATTAAGAAAGTAAAGGCAAAATGTAACCCCGCCCACCCGCCCTATCTCAATTGTGAAGATTTTTTTTATTGGTCGTGAGCAAGGGGTGGAGCTTATCTGCAAAATCCTCATTTCTCCACGAGAAATTAAAAACATGTTTTTGAGTATCGTATTGCTCAAAGAATACCATGTATATTAAGAAAAAATTAATGCCAAAGATTACCATTTTAATCGTGTTTTAGGTTTGTAGGAATAAAAGGTCATCACAACTGAGATAGGGTGGGTGGGCGGGGTAAATAGTTTGCCATTTTTTTCTTAATATACTTGTTTTCTTTGAACAACACAATACTCAAAATCATGTTTTTAAATTCTTGTAAGGAAATAAGTATTTTGCAGTTAAACTCCACCCTCGTGCTTCATTGGGAATAAAAAAATCTTCACAATGGAGACAGGGCGGGTGGGCGGGCTTACATTTTGCCTTTTTGTTTTAAAATGTGTAGACTTCTTTTCACAACATGAAACTTAAAACATACTTAAAATGGCAAAATTGTATAAGCATTTTTAGTGCAGAACAACTAATATTTTCTATGTGTGATAGAAACGTTAATTTCGAGTCCATCACAATGACTAAATCTAACACTTGATTACATAACTCTAAGGAACTCCCTTTAACATTATGATAAAATTCATGCAAATTTAGAATTCTCCCAAATTTCATTAGTTTATAGTCCTTTTTTTTCACTGTCAACATGTTTTGGTCATCATAAGCGCAAACTTACCAAATTCTGATGTAAATAAATACAATCTGCTATCGACAACAACTTACAGTTTTTATCGGCGTATATATTAAAATGTAAAACACATAGTAAAGGTCCCAAATTTGAGCCTTGTGTACCTCCCTGTCAGAAGCATTTGCGATATAATCCAGTTAAAAAAAAGATAAAATCACAGTCTTCTTATACAATATTTTATTTTTACGAAAATTTGCATCCCAGAGGTAAAAAATTAAGGCGGATTCACAAACCACGAGTACAGGAGGATGTTATTTCATGAAATTTAATAGTATTTAATGTGTAAAATTTTGTTAGCGTTTTACCATATACACGATTTTCCTAAAATATCTGTAAAATTTGACACATATGTCTATTAAATATCGACATAGACAAACAGATGATAGACAAAGAACAGCCAAAAACCCAAAGAAGACAAAAGTAATAAATAAACAAATAATAAAAATTGCGAAATTTCTCTTCCTTAGAGCAATTACCATTAACGTGATCAGCATATAATAATGGAAAATTCGCAAATAAAATAGAGTTTAAGTTAAAACTAAACGAGTTAAAAATTATCAAATTCTATGAGTAGTCTTAAAATAATTCTATTATGTATAAATTTCTAATTTTTAAAAAGGCATGTTTAGTGTTTCTAGTTGTGTGAACTGATTTGTTTTCCGTAGTAAACAGCTTCTGTTATCGACAAATGAATTTAAATACAGGCAGTTTAAATTAACAAAGCACCTAATAAATAATTTTGCTTTAATTCATTATCGTTTACTAAATTAATCAACAATCTGCTATTATAAACCTGGAAACATTACCTTTGTCAACAGACATTTTAATTTAACTTATTAACAAGGCCTGGAACAATGGATGGAATAATGGACTAATGGATGCCTTCTGATTCCTTATTATTTATTATTAGTGAACTTTTACCATTAAATATTAACAAAATTGGGTGAAAGTTATTTCGACAGAACTTCCCTCGCCCCTGATTTTGTCCGCACAAGAACGGACAATATGAAATGTATTGATACTTCGGAAGAATTAGACTATTAAGCACATATAGATAACCACCATCAGCAGTGATAGATCAAAATATGCATGCGTGGTAAAATAAAATGAAATTTGATTGATTTTATGTCTTCAGAACAGAAGGAAAAAGTAATTAATTAGTTTTTGGATGAGTAGCTATTATTATGACAATTATTATTTTAAGATTATTAAATATAGGCGGGCGCGACATTACTGTATACAACTTTCGAGAAAATGTCTTCAGACATACAGACGTTTAAATTCGCCTAAATAAATAAAACTGTAAATTCTAATAAACATTATAAATGAAGCAGTGAAAATCGAAGTGTCCCATTTTTGAAAAAATACGCAAAGTAAAGATGGGGGTGATAACCCGGGAAGCTTAAAATCTTGGATGTCGCGTGAGCAAAAGTCTCCGGTTCTTAGAGCATCGCTAAAATTTTATGTTTTTTGTCTGCAAAGCCATCGTAAAATACAAACGTGTCTCATATTTGGCTTACATTTAGCACATCGCGGCAAAATGGCCTTAGGTAACGTTGTTGCAACTTTTGGAATTTCATGTGCCTTTAACACAGGCTTTTGAATTTTAAAAACACGCATGTTGGTTATGCATTTAAAATGTCATAAAATTCACATTATGGTGGGCTAAAAGCTTTTAAAAAAACTTGCATTGGAAACCAAAGTTATATTCACTGAAACCGGATGTTAAAATCAATTTTGTCGTGTTCCTGAAAATGTTTTTGTAGATTTTGTACAAACTAATTTAATTTCCATATGTAAATGTCTGAAACACACTACGTATTTGAAAAGCGTTTTCGCTCTTAAAAAAACGTGTTGCTTGATAAAATCAATTATGGCAGTATATATATATAAAAATGTGGTTTAAATTTAGTGTCGCGTCTATTTCGTCCGAAAAAATATGACATCTATTGGCAATGACACTCTCGTCCCACTATCGCTTCCCATTACCCGGCAAATGTGAAGGAATTTGGAAGCGAGTCGCTGCTATGAATATTTCAAACGATTGTACAACAACGTCGTTAATGAACAATTCATGCGAGGCGGTTCAAGAATGGTCGGAAATTTCATGACACATCGAACATTCACAGAACGTTCGTCGGCCAATCTTTGGAAGCAATCATGGCAGCAGCTTAGGAGGGTCCTTAAAACTTCTGACGATACACCGACCACTTAACAATATTCATTTACGCTGCATGTGAGCAGCTAGCCCACCATAAATAACACAACTTTGATAAGAGAGGCTTAGCGCAACTTTGATCATATATTAAGAATGTGTCTAGCGTAATCTATTTATCAAACTTTACAACTTTGTACAATTTTCATTTGATTTAAGGGCGAAACCGCAATATTTTTTACGGTTTTGCTACATAACCCATCCACCGTATCAAGCGGCCCTAATGGGAATTTTCTCGTTGCAGGGGCGAAATACGAACCCGTATTAGTCGATAACGCCTACAAGGTGCACATGAAGCTGACCATTCGATCTGTGAGCTTCGCCGATTATGGATCATATAAATGTGTGGCAAAAAACTCGCTCGGAGAAACAGACGGCACCATAAAGCTTTATCGTAAGTATAATTTCTGTGCTCATGCTCGTTTTTATCTTTCTAAATCTCGTAAGACTTTTATCATAACATATTTACAACATTTTACGATTTTCGTGCCCGAAACACGATGAAAATAATAATAGTAATAGTAATAATGGGATATCGCGGTTCCGCTGCTGCTTCGAAGACCTCATTTTACGATTGAAATTGCAACGCCCGGCCCGGGTTTTCGCACTTTTTTTATATCGAACGTTTATGTTTCCCAAACAACATAAAGGCTTTTCATAATTCAGTCATTCGTAGGTATTGTTTAGCTCCCTGGGAAAAACGCCAATCTCGTTTCCCCTAAACGCTTTTACGTTAGTGGGAATGGGAGATTTCACTATTATCAGCGGGGAATCTGGAAACCGGGCCAGCCCGATGTATTATATTATGTACAGCAAGTCACCGGGATAATCAGTTCTAAGCTCTAATAAAATGAAAAATCCTCGAGAATTTTCCCTCTTAAGACCCGTAGTAGCAGAAGTTTCATTCAAGCAAAGCCATCCTCCTAAAGTAAAAAATATTTTCTATCGAAGCGACTAATGCGACTGTTGAAATTTCAAGAGGAGCCATTCGATTCGCTCCAAGTGCTGTCAATTATATTTTTCTTCTATCATTTGCAGTCCCGTGTCCTAATGGAAAATCATGAAAAGGGTGGCCCTCGAATTCATTAATTTTGTTTTCATTTCCACCATAATAGTGTACAAATGCCATGTTGTGAGGGTGACTTCTATCCGTTTAATCTATGGAAATGGAAGCTTTCATGCTGGTTTTTTACATTAATGGGGGAGAGATTGTGCGTCCCCTGCAGTTATAATTAAGAAAGAGGAAGCATCTTTAGATGCAGAACTCAAACAAGAAAATGAGCCAAGAGCCACCTTGTAATTCCACTTGTCTTTTCCAGTTCAATAAATTCTATTATATCTCACTGAATACCTGCTCGTACTTCGTACTTTTAATTGGTATTGTTTGATTTCATACAACGTGGAGACAACGTCACTGTAACCTATTTCTTGTATCTATTCACTGTTTTATCTTTTCACTGACAATATCGTATTTAAATGAAATAACAGCTGCGGGTGTTGTTGTCACTTGGTCGTTGGTTTAAATTAAAGGAGAGCACACAAGTATTCTAAATAAACGAGATTCATTTCCATCTATAAATGCACTTTATACTCTAAATTTTTGCATTTTTTAAGCCATTAACACCTGCTACATATTCAACGCTATACCCGTCTCCACTAATTAAATCAAAAGATAGTTAACTTTCAACAAATTTCGTTAAATCTCACCGTGTAGTTAAAATATATTGACTATTTTCTGAATCTACTATCAAAAAACTTGGAACGTTGATCACGGCCTACGATGATTAGATCTAGTCATTATATATTATTAGGAGTAATCATCGTTAGTTCCATATTTGTACCAAAATACATATATCTTTACATCTTTTCGCAACCATAACCAGTAAATGATAGTTCTACGTTATTAATAACGAATCATAAATTTCCTCCTCTCATCTTTAATTTATTTTATTATTTTGTTCAAAATTCTACACTTTTTATTCTTGATAATCGTTCATTTATTAGTGTGTTTTTTATTAAAGGATCGACTCGGTTGTTATTACTATTTTAAATAGCTACTCCGAGAGCATAACCTGACGCATCCGCTTTTAAAGCAAAATAATTATCCGAACGGAAATTTGAATACAGTAGCATCGGTAGTTCCAATAGCGCTCGTTTTAACAACCAACAGGTTATCAGAAGACTTGAAAGCAACCAGCTGTTTGGTATATCATATCATTAGGAATTAACATTTTCTAATTCAACTTCTAACGAAGACTTTTGTAGAAGTTCTATTCTGTAGTATCCCTAGTATAAATGCATACAATCCGGCAATGAGTTTAGTATTTCAATTTGTTTATACTTACGAACCTCCAGTCGGCTATAAATCTCCACTTTTCAATTCAGTTTTGATCTACTTTCTTTGTTTCTTACAATTAAAAGCGGAACTGACCAAATAAATTTCGTTTTTTCGATTATACTATTCCGGAGCGTTTGATTTATTTGTCTATGAACTTCCGCCCTACTTGAGGCATATATTTCATATTGCAAAGCGAAAGAACTATATAAATATAAATGCCAGCAAATATTAACTCAAAGTTAATATATTCTGTGAACATCTAAAATTAGGAAAAAATTAATATTTCATTCCAAGAAAATAAGTACATTTCATCACGTTATGATATTTTTTTTTAGTGCACTCATAAATGCATACTTACAACACACATATTCAATTAATTAGATAACATATCCTAAAGCGTCACATCATTTAGTTTGAATCTCAAGATAGTGTCGTCTTGACTGGTTAAAATTTATACCTACAACTCGCTTACATCACCGATAAAATTTTAAGTGGCTTCAGTAACATTAAGTTTCCCCATTCATATAATGAAAATGCTTTTTACTGTAAAGTTTCAGTTTTTCGTCCTGGTCCATGAAAAATATAATTGCCTTTTTAAACCGGTCTTTGAAAAACTGAATTTATACCTTCAGAGCTTAAGTATGCAAGTTATCGCAAAAAATCCAAAGTTTACAGTCTGTCTTAAAATCTAGGATAAGATCTTCTTGAAGTTTAAGAATTTATTAACATTACTGTAATGATTACAGAACAACAATTAAAAGAAACTTAATGACGTCATTGTTTAAAAGAATCTTGGAAGTTCATGGTATTTCATTTTTGGAAACATTTTAAAAAATTTCGATGATTCCTGGTGTAGCTTTTGAAAAGTTTGAAAAGATCTTGGCGGTTCCTAGTGTGAAAAAAAAGCTCCCAGCGTTTTTTTTCTTTTTTTTTGAAGAAATTGAAAGAATCTTGAATTCTTACTTTAGAAAAATCTCGGAAATCCTTGGACTTTTCTTTTCGAAAGAATCTGAAAGAAGCAAGTTGGTGTCTTATCTAAAAAATGTGAAAGGACCTTGGAAGGACCTCGTCTTCCGTTTTCTAAAATATGTAATTTCAAAAAATGTCTGCAGTACCTGGCATTTTTGAAAAATTTGAAGCAATCATGACCCTTAGTGACTTTAAAAAAATTACAGACATTTGGGGGCTGCTGCCTGATTGGTGCTTTAATTTTGGAAATTTTGAACCAATCTTACGGAACTCCCAAGGTTTTTTTTTTAACTGAAAGAATCTTGAGACCTCTTGTACTCTATTTTTTAACGATTCGAAAAAACCTCATTTATCTTGTTGTTCAGTTTTTTAAAAAGTTTGAAACAATCTAGTGCCTTGCTTTAATTTATAAAAATCTTCTAGGTCGCCTGTGTTTTGTTTTTATAGAGTGCAAAAGAATCTTCATGTGTTTTGTAAAAAAACTGAAAAAATCTTTGGGGGTCCTTGTGCTTATGTTGATGATGATTATGATGTTTTGTTTTTGTAAAAGTTTAAAAGAACCTTGGGAAAATTTTGGAAGCCGATTGTCTTTTTAAAAAATGTGAAATTGTCTTGGATGTCCCTGGTGATTTTCTCAAAGAATTTGAAAAGACCCGGGAGGATCTTGGTGTGGTGTTTTTGAAAGAATTTTGATATTGGTGGACTATATATATATTTTGTTTTTGAAACTTCGTCAACCACTGCTACTTTGTTTTTAAAAAAAATTTTGGGAGCTACTACTTGAAGTAAGTGAAATTAGTTTCTGTGTTTTATTTTTCAAATATTTGGAAAACATCCTGGAGGCTGTTGGTATTTTCTTTTTAAAAAGTTTAAAAAAATTTAGAGGCCCCTGGTGTCTTTTTTTAATTTGGAAAAATTTTCTGGATTTCCTGTGATTTGATTTTGAAAGACTGGAGAAAAATTTTGTAGACCTTGATGCTTTATTTTCGAAATATCTAATTTGGAAGAATTCTCGGAGACATTAAGAAGTGTTTTGTCTTTGAAAGAATCTGAAAAAATTTTCGTAGCTGATTTTCAAAGGATATGAAAAAATTCCTCATGCTGCTAGTAAAGAACCTCAAAGAATCTTGAGGGCCTTGGTGTCTTATTTTTGAAATGTTTGAAAAAGACTCTGTGGGCTTTTTTCAAATTGACAGAATCTTGGATCCCTGAGTTTTGGTCTGAACGAATTTGAAAGAATTTTCGGAACTGTTACTGTCTTTATTAAAAAATGCGAAAGATTCTTGGAAAATTTTGTGTTTTATTTTTAAAAATATATAATTTGACAAAAACTCTGGACTCTCTATTGCTTTCATTTTTAGAGAGTTTGAACCAATTTTGAGGACCCTCAGGCTCTTTAAAAAGGAAATTAAAAATCTTAAGCGCTGCTAGTGTCTTATTTTTGCAACAATTTGAAAAAAATCTCTGGTGCTTTATTTTTGGAAGAGTTTGAACCAATCTTGCGGACCCCTTGTTGTCTTATTTTAACTGGTAGAATCTTGGGTCTCTGGTGTTTTACTTTTTAAACAACTTGAAAAAATGTTGTTATCCACTGGATTTTGTTCTTGAAAAATTTGAAGCAATCTTGGGATAGCCTAGTATATGAAAGAATTTTGGAAGCCCCTGGTGTTTTTTTTGAAGAATTGGAAAAGGTCCTGAGGACTCTTGGTGTCTGCTTTTCAAAGAGTTTAAAATAATTTTTAAGGTCTCTAGTGTTATTTTTTTTTTAATTTGGAAGAATCTCCTGGATTTCCAGCATTTCGATTTTGAATGAATGTGAAAGAATTTTGGTTTCCCTTCCCATATTTCGTAAAAAAACTGAAATAACGTTAGAAATCCGGATGTTTTATTAAAAAAACTTTGAAAGAAGTTTGGAAGTTGCTGATCCTTTTTTGAAAGTACTACACTATGTTTTTAAGAAATTGAAAGAATCTTGGATTCCGGGAGTTTTGTTTTCGAAAGAATCTGGAAAAAGCAAGTTCAGAGGATGTATCTTATTCAAAAAATGTGAAAGAATCTTGGAAGGTCCTCGTCTTCCGTTTTCGGAA